CCTTAGGCTTTCCTTCTGGGCTAAGGAAAGGGTTTCTGGCTTTCCTTCTAATTCAGTCCCTCTCTTTAGAGGTGAAAAGGGTAAGAAGGAGTTGCTGCCAATTATCCAGGTGGGCCTATGATGTAAGGCTGAGGGCCCCACAGAGTCATGGGGTGAGCCTTATGCTGTGCTGAGGCGCAGGATCCGAGAAGTAAAGAGACAAGACATAGAAGTACAAAGAAAATGCAGCTGGGCTCGGGATGCCACGCCACCTATGAGCGGAGTCAGGCGAGGCCCCGAATGTCCAGAAGCATGAGTATTTATTGTGTGTAGGTTAGGGGGCAGGGCAGTGAGTGAAATCATCTTTAAGGATAGTGATAGGGTCGTGAGCAATAAAACATAGGGTCCACCCCCATTAGGTCACCTAGGCCGGGAGGTGGACAGTGCACAGCAAGGGGCCCGTTCCCATTAGGTCACTGAGGCTTGAAGGTGGGTTGTGTGCAGTGAAGAGGGTGCAGGTTGCAATACCTGTATCTATGGGCAAGCTACTAAGAAGATTTATAGGAGGATGCTTTAAGTCACATAGCAGTGACAGAGCTGTCAGGGTCTATGCCACCTGCTAGCAGTTTCCAATGAGTTCTATAGGGGAATGCTTTTCGAGCTGTACAGTAACAAGAGCTGATAAAGTTCACACTCACCAAGGGGCGATTGTCGGTCTGAGGGCAGCCTTCCACAAGAACTGGAGCAAGGTCCTACAACTCCTTTATCAGGAGAGTGGCTCTTGCCCCAAGCCTGCCATACAACAGGTATCTTTATGATACGGAACGCTGCCGCCTGGGCCATGGATTCTTGTCCTGTTGTAACTGTTTTTCCCTTAAATCATACTGTGCACTGTGTCTGCTCTAGATATTCCTCCGATTATAAGCTGCTTATTTCTTAATTCGAGCTCTGTACTGTGTCCACTCTAGGCATTCCTCTGATTATAAACTAAGATGGAGTCATATATAGATATATATATGGAAATAGCTGAGTAGTAACACTGTAAACTGAGATACTCTCCAGGTCCTAATTCTATAAACTAATATATGATTATATAAAGGATTATATAAAAGGAAGTAACTGAGTAGTAACACTGTAAACTGAGATATTCTCCAGGTCTTAATTGTGCCAGGATTCTGCTTAGCTCTCCTTCCTCGCTACCTGTATGGGGGGTTACCCACTCTATGAGTCTGGAGCACAGACTCCTTTAGTGGTTAGGACTTGGGGCTTCTCAGAAAACGGAGGATTTTGAGCCCTCCAGTTGTACAGGTTAGAGGTGGAAAATGGAACATAGACTAAAAACGGAGCAGCAGAACGCTCACTGCCTGATGGGGTTGGTGCCTCCCTTAAGGGGAGGAGTGGGGTAGCTTTCTCTGACTGGCCATAGCTGTAAGGCAATGGGCGGAGAAACTGCCAGAGACAAGGGCTTAGCGGGTAGAGGCGGCGAGGGGCTGCAGGAGGTGTTGTTGAAGAAATTGTGGGGGATCCTTGGGGAACAGCGGGGTTATACGGTGGGGGTAATGGGTGCAGATAGCTTTCCTCTTCCTCAGAGGAAGGCAACATGGGGAGCAGAAGGGGCCGCTCGAGCAATAGGTTGGGGCCAGGAGGGGATTTTATTTGGAGGTGGGATTACGAACAGTGCAAGATTGGAGCCACGAGGGAGGGTTCTGAACCAAACTAAGCCATTGATTAATATAAGGGAACTGGTTAGGATGGCCAGGCTTTCTGGAAACAACCTGCCATACGGCTTGAACTGTTGTGAGGTTTAATGACCCTTCTGAGGGCGACCGGTTTTAAATTTTGGCCATTCCACTTTACAGAGAGTCTGGAGTTTGCCTTTTTAAAGGTGGACTCCTTAGTCCTCTGAGAAGCCTAGAGAGAAATTTTTTTTTAACATACTGTAGGGGGCTCGGCGACTGGGGCCGAGAGGAAGAGTTTCCCATCTTTGAAAGCAATAGTTAACAGGATTTTTAAGCAGAGATATCAGACCCAGCATGGGTAAAAGTATTTATGGCCTGCAGGCATGGGGAATTGGAAAAACAGGAAGATTATAACCAGAAGAAGTAGGAAGAAGGTTATAGCCAATGCTTTTTGCCACATAGGGTTTTCTTAAGCTTTGAGTTATGGGGAGAAAGCTAATGATCCAGGGAGGCTTTTTACGCCGCTGCCTGGGACTAGGGAACACTGGAGAGGTTTGCCAGAACCAAGCACCAGGCCGCTGAGCTCCCTCGTTCCCTGCAGGCTGGGGTTTACCTTGCCCCTCCCCGATTCAGCTTGCCTGGGGCTGGGCAGTTCGAGCCTGCAAGGAGTGAAAGGTCCTGGGGGCAGTGCTTGGTTGCCTTGCCCCCGCAGGCCTTGCCCCGCAGGCTCCCAAAGGAAAACTGCACTTTTAAATTCCGGCCGGTGTGCCACTGTGGCTGGGCACTGCTGCTTCGGTGTTTTTTTTTTTTTTTTTTTTTTTTTTAAGATGCGATTTCACCATGATGGCCAGGCTGGTCTTGAACTCCTGACCTCAGTTGATCCACCCACCACGGCCTCACAAAGTGCTAGGATTACAGGCATGAGCCACCACACCCGGCCCTGCTTCAGTGTTCTTAAAGAGACAGGACAGAATGACACGTTTGGGGTAAACGGTGGGGGTGAGGAAGAAAAGGGCCACCCGAATTTTTTAAAAGATGAGAGAGCACCCATGTGGGAAGGTAGTAGGTGTTTAGGAAAAGTAGAGCATTATGGGTATAGGTTTTTTTTATACAGTGCCCTGTTTAAGGGCACTGGGAAAGTTGTGGGGTGACAGAAAAGGTGGGCAAGGAGGTTTGCAGGATGGCTATTTTGAATCCACCACTGTTTTGAGAAAAAAGATGTACCCGGTCGTTGGGGCGTGGGGTGTGACAATTCAGATGCCAACAATCTTTGTCGTGCCACAATTTACAGACTGGTGAGTGTTTTTTTACAACTTTCCCCGTAACAACACCTGATCTGTGTTTGACAGAAAAGGCAGGACTGGGATGGCCAGCCCAACCAGCAAATGAGGGATTTTACTTCCTTAGGTAGGAAATCTGTACGGAGTACCTTAAAGAAGTTTTCCCCTAGCCGCCTTGGGCAATAGCTGCGGCAGACATACAGACTTAAGCAGACTCCAGCAGAACAATAGCCACTGGGACACACAAACAGAAAGAGTCCCGTGTTGGGATTAGTCAGATGCCCCCCTGGCCGCTCCCCTGACGGAGATGTTGGGCTCCTCTTAGCATCAGCAGATTGTGATAAGCCCCTGATTAGGACTGAGCTCAGCTCACTGCCATTAGCCTTATGAGGTAGCCATGGAAACGCCGGTAAAAGCCCTCTCTCGCTCTGCAGCTTCTGCTGTGGAGCTACAAATTGGAATTTTAAGGGCATGCCCTTGAACCCCCCATTCACTCACACAGGCACTCACCATTTACACACTTTATTGCACTTTTTATACTCGTTTTAAGATACAGCCCGCTCTATTGAACAAGAAAGAGAGAGAGAAACCAGAGACACTAACAGAAACCGCGACTTTGCCTTCCAGCATGCTGGAGTGCTGGCAGAGCTAACGGAAACCAGGACTCTGTCCTCCAGCATTCCGGAGTGCTGGCAGAGGTATGAGGGAAGGCCCTCGTCAGGACCGATTCCCTCCCAGAGTCAGATTTAACTTACCTTCCCAGGACCACAGACAGGACTCAGGAACCGAATTTGGCGGCCACTCCAGTGTCAATTCGTTCCCCTCCGGACAGCAGTGGGCTACAGGTCCCTGAAAAATCTCAGGGGGCGCCTCTATAGGCCACTGTTCATCTAGGGGCCAGAATGAGCCTGGTTACACCCGGTGGGGACAAAAATTACAATACCTCACTGGGGCCTCCAAAATGTTGTACCCAAGCGAGTTAAGGAATGCGCCACACTCTGAGATTGAGTTATGAGTCCTTTATTATGCCGGCTACCAAGAGGTGGCTAATGCCCAAAATTCTCTCGGCCCCTAAGAAAAAGTTAGGTGGCCTTTTATACCTTAGTTTTAAAGGGGAAGGGGAACCTAGCTGAAGTAAATTTTTCACAGAAGCAGGGTAAGGAAAAAGTTAAAAGATAAACTAGTACATGAGAAATAAAACAGTGCCAGCTGGGAGGGGTAGAGCTGTCATGAAAGACATACAACTTATAGATAATGGGGGCTCTGGGGGCTCGACAGCACCTGCATTCCCAGGCTCTGCTGGTACCACTTAGCTCGGCCTCTTATTAACAAATGCATTCCTGGAGGTGCCCAGTGTCAGCCTGCCCCAGCTACATACTACAGTTACATACTTAATGGTGGGAAAATAACTAAAATGAAGAAGGTAAGATGGAGTCTGTATGGCTCAAGAAGTTAACATGAAACCTGAACAGCTTTTAGTCTGCGAGAGTTAATTTTAGCTGGCAAAAAGCAGGTTATCACAACACTACCTACCATGCAGTGGTAGAAAAGGCCTCCTGACCATGGGGCCAGATGAAGCCTGCAGGAAAGCAGATTAACACTCACTGAGCAGGCCAGGCATGGTGGCTCACACCTGTAATCCCAGCACTTTGGGAGGCTGAGGCGGGCTGATCACTTGAGGTCAGGCGTTCGAGACCAGCCTGGCCAACATGGTGAAACCCCATCTCTATTAAAAATAAAAAAAATAAGCAGGTGTGGTGGCGTGAGCCTGTAGTCCAAGCTACTTGGGAGGCTGAGGCAGGAGAATTGCTTGAACCCGGGAGGCAGAGGCTTTAGTTAGCTGAGACCGCGTCACTGCACTGTAGCCTCCTCACTTCACAGCGGAGGCCACAGGGGTACCCACACTGTTTCTACCTCCAGACAAGAGGCTGGAGGTAGCCTGCAGTCATCCCTGGAACAGCCCAGGGAATGTGCCTGCTGTATTTCCCGGGACAAGCTCACCCCCCCCAACCCAGCCCTGCTACAACTCCTAAGCAAGAAATCACATCAGCTGAGTTGCAAGTGACATGAGGAAAGCTCCAACCTACTTTATTTAGAAAGGGGAAAGGTCAGGGGAGGGAAATAGTCAAAAACTGCATGTCCTTCCTTGGACACATCTACCCTCTGAGACACTGGCCCGTGGCATCCCACTGAAAGGATTTCTTTAGGCTGGCTCTTTGACACTCCTCCTGTGTCTGGGCTCTGGGCCACTGGCTGCACTGGCCCCTGGCCCAAGAAGGCCAGGTCCAGCAACATCTGGCCCATTCTAGTTGATGTAGTACACCTTGGCGCCATCAAAATAGGCGCGGGTCATGTAGTTCTTATTCCTAAGGGGCCACCAGTGGTCAGGGTGGTAGGTGGCTGGGTAGACATGGGGCTGGTGCTGAACACAGCTGAAGAGCGCCAGGCTGCGGTCTGTGGCCACAGTGGGCAGGTAGAGCCGCAGCTTATCCAGAAGGTGGCCTGGCCAGAAGGAGTTGGGGTGCGTTTGCTGCAGACCACTGGCCCTCTTCGCCTTCAGCTTCCTGGAAAACAAGAAGACACAGGGATGCTTGCCATGGCAATCAGGCCAGGGCTGAGGCTTCTCCCAGAGCCCACCAACTGGGACCAAGTGGAAATTTAGCACTGTGTCAAGCACTTCAGCAACTCAGTCCTCCTCACAGTTCCATAGGGTTGGCTCTGTTATCCTGTCGACCTCACCTGTGAGGACCCAGAGGCCTGGAGAGGCCGACGCACACTGAGCAAGTGGCCAGTGCAGGCGTCACTCCCTGTCCAACACCTCTAAAATCCAAAGTCTTAAGCGTAAGCCATCTGTCATCCGGAGGCATTTTAATGCAGTGTTTGGAGTACAGTCCCTGGAGTCACCCTAGCTGGGTTCAGATCCCCACTCCACCACTTCATTGATGTGTGACTCTGAGCAGGACATTGACCCTTTCTGCGCCTCAGTTTCCGCCTGTGTAAAATGAATGTGCTTAGTGTCCCTTCATAGGGCTGTTGGGAGGATTTGGGTGAGTGAACACATGGAAATCCCCAGGGCAATGCCTCCTGGCCCTCCCCGTGTTGTCGCTGCCTCTCAGGCCAGGGCCTCAGCCCCAGCTGTTGTGCCAGGAGCACCGAGTCCCAGTTGTCTCAGGCAAAGCTGCCCCTCCTCCCACCTTCCTTCCTTATGGAGTGAGATGATTGCCACAGACCTGGTAAATTCCTCAAACTCCTTAAACTGCATTTTCTTGATTTTCTTTGGCATTTTCCTAGTGGAGGAGAGAGAGGCATTTTGTGAGGAGACTGGAAATTGAGGCCATTGGGGCTTTAGGGAGTAGGTCAGGGGCTGCAGGGTTGGGCCCATTTCTAAGTCTCAAAGCAGAGCTCTGAAAGAAAAACGTCTTTCACCTGGGGTGGGCCCTGACTCCGTGCTGCCATGCTCCAGGGGAACACAGTGGGCTTGGGGCAGTCGGACCTGGCCTCAGAATCTGGCCAGGTGACCTGGGCAAGTCACTTTCCCTTTCTCATCCTCGGTTCTCTCATGGCTGAGAACAGAGAGCTCTCAGGGTAGTTATGAGAGAGGCTCACTAAGTCACTGCTGAATCCTTTTGGGGTCCCTGGCTCCCACTCTCCACTCCAGAGCTTAACCCAACCCTGAGGACAAAGGTGGTGAAATCTAACCCCCTCCCACACCACCTCACAACCCTAAGCCTGACAGACATCACTAATCGTTCACCACACTCTTCCACCAAGCCTCCATCTGGCCTCAGAATTTTCCATAACCCTAAAGGGTCGATGTCTCTCCTTGACCTAGGAGACCTCTCTTTATCCTTTATTAGCTATAACCTACCTAAGCACGGACCAAAATCTCCTTCCTATATTGCCAGCCACTTCCTGGGTCATCCCGGGGCTGGAAGGCAGTCACAGCCGATTTTGTGGCCGGGACTCACCTGCGGGCCTGGGCCTACTCCTGCCCTTGAGAACAGCGTTGGGCCTATCCTGACCAGAGCAAGGTAAAATAACAATGATCATTGATGGAATGCTGTCACTCCTAAGATGTTGACACTCTTTCTCATCTGATCCTCTTAGTCTATGGTAGGAGCGGCTAGGCCCCTTTACACATGAAGATGCTGAGGCTCAGAGAAGTGCTTTATCCATTTAACCAGAGGGCTGTCTGATCTCTACAAGGCCCTGCTGCATCCCACCACAGGCATTCTGGCCACACACCCAGTGGGCAGCTGGCAGGGGTCTAGAGGCAGGGGCAGGTGCAGGCCCCTCCGCCTCATGGTATCGGGCCAGCTGGGCCCCTCCCTCCGCAGGGATGCTGCCTTGTTCCTCTGCAGTCACCCACTTATGCTGCCCACGGGTTATCACCTGCTGCTTGACTCAAATCTGGGAAGCTTAGGCTTTGGAGTACCAAAGAAGGCCATTTTCTTAAAGAGGACTCAGGTTGGTCTCCCGGAAGGGCTAGGGACAGGGCCCAGGGAAATGTTCCTTTCTCCTCCCAGGAGCTGCAAGCCCACCTCTTGCCAGAGAAGGGGCGTGTCAGAGGCAGGGTGGCAGGGCTGAGAAAGGGCTGCCCCCCTGTTCTCTGCAGGGCCCTGACCCCTAGTTGGGGATTTGCAAAGGCCCTTACTCCAGCCCTGTTCTCTAAGATGGCCCTCCTTTTCATCTTTTCCAGAAACCTTGCAATTGTACAGGACTGGGGTCAGGAGGGTAGCTGTGTGGGAACTGAGGCTAGCATGCCGTGATCCTGAGACATGCGCCAAAGGTGACTCAGGACTGGCCAGTCTGCAGTGAGCAGTCAGGTTGGGGATGCTGCCCTAGGACGCGTACGTGGGCACAGCATGGCGCCCCAGGTATGCCAGCCTCCAGCCCCCACACTGAAGGGACAGCAACGGGGCAGGAGGCCAGGGCAGGGAGAAAGGGGGTCTGAAACTCAGCTTGTCAGTCTTAGACTCGCCAGCGCCCTGGGACTGGAGCAGAGCCACATTTGGAGAAAAGACCTTCCAGTCAGAGTAGTAGCCTCCTGGCTGCCGGATGGGGCGCACCTCATCCTTCTGGAAAATGATCTTGTCTCCTGGGTACAGCAAGGCTGGGGATAGCAAGAGAAACATCTGCCGCCATCAACCCGGACCGCCCATCCCTCCCTGAGCCGCTGGGGTCAGATGAGGTTTGATGTTGTTTTCAATTCACATTTTTGTTTAAGAAGCTTTTTTCTGGGCCGGGCGCAGGGGCTCACACCTGTAATCCCAGCACTTTGGGAGGAGGCCAAGGTGGATGGATCATGAGGTCAGGAGTTCGAGACCAGCTTGACCAACTTGGTGAAACCCCGTCTCTACTAAAAATACAAAAATTAGCCTGATGTGGTGGCATGCACTTGTAATCTCAGCTACTCAGGATCTGAGGCAGGAGAATTGCTTGAACCTGGGAGGTGGAGGTTGCAGTGAGCTGAGATGGAGCCACTGCACTCCAGCCTGGGTGACGGAGTGAGACTCCATCTCAAAAAAAAAAAAAAAAAAAAAAGTTTTTTTCTTATCTATATAGTAACTTTTTATTGTCGAATAGTTGTAGATTCACTGGTAGTTTCAACAACACGGCAGAGGGCTCCCTTGAACCGCTGCCCCAGTGGTGACATGGCATCCAGCTGTACTATGATATCTGGAAATGGGCCTTGGGACAATAGGGCTTAGGGGACTAGAGATGAGGGGGCTGGTTTATAACCAGGTCAACAAAGGCCCTGAGGCCTGGGTGCAATGAGGTCTGAGCTGTCCTGGGAGGAGGCAGGAGAATTTCATCAACACTTCACTAGGGTAACTTAGACCTGCTTTCTGTCTTGTTTTGTTTTTCTGAGGCAAGGTCTCACTCTGTCACCCAGGCTAAAGTACAGATCACGGCTCACTGCAGCCTCAACTTCCTGGGCTTAAGCGACCCTCCCGCCTTAGCCTCCTGAGTAGCCAGGGCCACAGGCATGCACCACCATGCCTGGCTAATTTCTTAAATTTTTAGTAGAGATGGGGTCTTGCTATGTTACCCAGGCTGATCTGAAACTCCTGGACTCAAGCCATCCTACCTACCCTGGCTCCCAAAGTGCTGGGATTACAGGCGTGAGCCACTGCACCCGGCCCACTTAGATTTGTTTGGGGGCGGTTTTCTCCTTGTTTGAATTAATCTCACGGATATCCTTAGAAGAGTTTTCTAAGACGTGCTAAATATAAAAAGAACTGAGCCAGGGTCTCCACCTTCCTGCAACTATTGAGCAGTGCTTGTCTTAAGATGATAACACATGAAATCTCACGTTCTAGAAAAAGTGATGGAAGTTACACTCCAGCTAGTCAATGTTGCTTATTTGGGGGTTGGGAAGGGGCTGTGGAGGTGAGAAGGAAGGAGAGGGAAGGGGAGATATGTAACATCAATATTTTCAAAAGGTATACATGATTTTTTAAAGTATGATTTAAAAGTGACTCACGTCTATAATCCCGGCACTTTGGGAGGCCAAGGCAGGTGGATCATGAGGTCAAGAGATCGAGACCATCCTGGCCAACATGGTGAAACCCCGTCTCTACTAAAAATACAAAAAATTAGCCGGACATGGTGCATGCCTGTAATCCCAGCTACCTGGGAGGCTGAGGCAGGAGAATTGCTTGAAACCAGAAAACTGAAGTTGCAGTGAGCCAGGATCGCACCACTGCACTCCAACCTGGCGATAGAGTGAGACTCATCTCAAAAAAAAAAAAAATTGATTTAAAAATGAGTTATGTGGCCGGGCGCGGTGGCTCAAGCCTGTAATCCCAGCACTTTGGGAGGCAGAGGCAGGTGGATCACGAGGTCAAGAGATTGAGACCATCCTGGTCAACATGGTAAAACCCCGTCTCTACTAAAAAAACAAAAAATTAGCTGGGCACGGTGGTGCGTGCCTGTAATCCCAGCTACTCAGGAGGCTGAGGCAGGAGAATTGCCTGAACCCAGGAGGCGGAGGTTGCGGTGAGCCGAGATCGTGCCCTTGCACTCCAGCCTGGGTAACATGAGTGAAACTCCGTCTCAAAAAAAAAAAAAAATGAGTTATGTAAATAATTTTCTATAAATGAGAAAAAGAGATTTGTGAAAGGATGGTCACTAAAATATTCACAATGGCCAACTTAGACTGGGGGAATTTTGATTTTTATGTTTTCAAAAAATTCAAATGAGCAAGCATTATCACCAAAACCAGGGTGGAAAGCCAATAAAGCTGTATTCACAGGGACGGGAGACCTTGTTTAGAATTCTGGCTCCTGAGCTTTAGGCCTGGAGTCTGAGTCACCAGTGTCTTGTCTAGAACTCAGGGTTGGAAGTCCTGATAGTTGAGCCTCTCTACCTGCAGAAGATCAGGCCTCTGTCATAAAGATACCCAATAGACAGTGGCCAAGACAGTGGTCAGAGATGGATTAGGGCCTAGTCCCAGCCACAGGACGCTCCATGTGCCCGTGAATGTGAGATCCTGCAGACAGCTGAAGCTCACCCATGTAAGAACCCAGGAGCTAGCAAAAACCAGGGGTGGGGAGAATCAACAGTGGTCCAAAGCTGGATGCAGTGGCTCACGCCTATAATCCAGTACTTTGGGAGGCTGAGGCGGGAGGATCACTTGAGCCCAGGAGTTTGAGATCAGCCTGGGCAACAAAGGAACCCCATCTCTAAAAAAAAAAAAAAACAGTGGCTCAATGTTCTGGTGAGGACAAAGGAGGCACACAGGGGAAGACCTAACCTGGAGGAGCAGTCCAGGGCACATGGCAAGCCAGCTTGCATTTTAGAAGAGAGCTGCAAGTCTACCACTGCATTAGACCATGGGGTAAATAATCAGGAAACGTGAGGCTCCCCAAGGAAGGAGGAAGGAGAGACGTTTGGTGAAAAGTGTGCATCCACAGCTGCAGACTCTCCCTCTGTCTCTGCCCTCCCAGCCCAGGCAGCAGGTGTGGGGGACAATGACCACTGAAGTTGCCTGCCTGTGTTCCTGACAGCCTCTGACCACATTCCCCTGTACACGTTTCTTATGGGCCAAACTGTGTCTCCCTAAAATTCGTATGTTGTAATTCTAATCCTTAGTACCTTAGAATGTGATATGTGTGTGTGCGTGTGTGTCTGTGCACGCACGTGTGTGTAAGAGAGAGAGAAAGGATCTTGCACTGTCGCCTAGGCTGGAGTGCAGTGGTGCGATCTCGGCTCACTGCAACTTTGACCTTCTGGGCTCAAGCGATCCTCCTACCTCAGCCTCCTGAGTAGCTGGGACTATAGGCATATGCCACCATGTCTGATGAATTTTTGTATTTTTTATACAGATGGGGTTTTGTGATGTTGCCCAGGTTGTTCTGAAAATCCTGGGCTCAAGCAATCCACCCACCTCAGCCTCCCAAAGTGCTGGGATTACAGGTGTGCGCCATTTTACCCTGCTAGAATGTGACAGTTGAGGTTAAAAAAGGATGTGACTTTATTTGGAGATTTTGTTTTGTTTTTGTTTTGATTTGTTTTTTAAGACGGGGTCTCACTCTGTCACTCAGGCTGGAGTGCAGTGGTATGATCATAACTCACTATAGCCTTAAACTCCTGGGATCAATCTATTCTCCTGCCTTGGCCTTCCAAAGTACTGGGATTTCTGGGGTGAGCCACAGGGATTACTGAGGTGAGCCACTGTGCCTAGCCTGGAGATAAAGTCTTAAAGGAGGTGATCAAGCTAAAACAAGGCTGTCCATGGATGGGCCCTAATCCAATCTCACTGGTGTCCTTATAAGAGAAAATGTGGACACACAAGAGAGACACCAGGTGTGCATGTGCAGAGAAAAAACCGTGTGGAGGCAGCAGGGAGGCAGTCATCTGCCAGTCAAGGAGAGAGGCCTTGAAGGCCTTGGAAACCAGCCCTGCTGGCATCTTGACCTGGGACCTCCAGCCTCCAGAACAGTGAAAACATTAATTCCTGTTGTGGAATCCACCCAGGAATTAATTTTGTTATGGCAGCCCTAGCAAAGTAATTGAAGAAGACCCAAGGCCCTATACATTTAGCATTTGTTTCCCTCCCTCTTGGGAAAAAGATGGTAATAATCCATTGTGACTGTAAAGTCTAGTTCTCACGTAAGTCACACCACTGCCTATGTGATGTGTTCCTTTCTCAGAAAGCCACTTTTCCCAGTATGGCCACAGTTCTTCCCTATGTAGCGGTTCCTAGGAGAAAACCTCTGCCTCCAGGTACAGCTTGCTCCGTCACGTTTGTAAAGCACAGAGAGGATGCTGCCCATTAAATTTGTACATTCTCCAGGCCACGTGTGGGGGCTCATGCCTGTGATCCCAGGATTTTGGGAGGCTGAGGTGGGTGGATCACTTGAAGTCAGGAGTTCAAGACCAGCCTGGCTAACATGGTGAAATGCTGTCTCTCCACAAAATACAAAAGCAGCCATGCATGGTGGTGCACGCCTGTAGTCCTAGCTACTCAGGAGGCTGAGGCAAGAGAATTGCTTGAACCTGGGATTGGAGGTTGCAGTGAGCCAAGATCACGCCATTGGACTCCAGCCCAGGTGACAGAGTAAGACTGTCTCAAAACAAAACAAATTTATACATTCACCAGTTCATAAGTTTGGAATGTAGACATTGCTCAATTGTCATCTAGGAGCTGAACCCTTCTCCACCCCCACCTATTAGAAGTGTTCGCCCCCCAGAGACGCAGTGGGCTCAGAACAGCTTGAATGTATGAAAACATGTTGCCCCCCAAGCAGAGGGCAGAAGCAGTGTGGAAATCTCAAGGCTGAGTCTGAGCGCTCTCTGCTCAAAGGGCCTCAGCCAGTCCTGTCTCTGGGTGCATTTGTACCTCACTGCTTCTTACAGAAGAACCAAGCAACAGCCTGGCCCAGAGAAGGGCTTTGTTCTGACAGCAGTTATCGTTTCTATCAAACCTCCCTCTTCCTTTATGTTCAGCCTCAGGGCTTTCTCACTCAGAACTCCTGTCCTTGGAGTTTTCCACTCTAGAATGAGCTTCCGGCTCACCAAGCTCAGGGTTCCATAATCCAGACCTCCCAGCCTTGTGTTCTAGAAATTCCATCTAGCAGCAAAACAGACTGGGCTCCTCCTCTTCTCCTCCATGCCCCCACTCTGCCTTATTCCCAATGTCCCCACCAGAGACCACACTGGCTTGAATGGCTGCACGGGTACCTTGGGTGGCATCACTTTTGTCCCAGCTCTGGGGTCCCCTTAGCATCTTCCTAGAGCCAGCCACCCAGGCCCTTACCTTTCATGAGGATGTCCTCCGTCAGCGGGATGCCACAGGACTCACAGAGCTTCCAGCACTGCAGGTAGACCAGAAAGGTGTGCCTGCGGGCTGAGTCAATGAGCTCCCTCATATCCCCGTGGATGGTGGATGGGAGGCAGTGCTCGTCAAAGTGCTGATTCCCACAGCGCACCATGCGGCACTGCTCCGTGTACTGGATGGAGGGGATCGTGAGCTGTGAAGGAAGCAGAGAGGGGTTCACCCTTCTCTTGCCTGTGTCCCTTCTGGTCAGAAGGCAGATGCAGTGCCTCATCGACCTCTCCCGTACAAGGTCCCTAGGAGGGGTGATGGCAACCAATGTCCAGTGGGGCTGCAGTTCAGATTCTGAAGTCAGTGAAGACTTCAACTGACTTCAGGTTTGGAAGCTTAGGTTCTGAAGTCACAGCCCTGTAGACAGGTGTGCAGCATGCACACATGATTGTGTAACGTATATGCAGTAAAACACAGTACACATGCCCTAGAGGCGTCCTATTGAAAAACAACATTCACAGGACCACAAGGTGGTTCACACCTGCAATCCCAGCACTTTGGGAGACCAAGGCAGGAGGATCACTTGAGCCCATGAGTCCAAGACCAGCCTGGGCAACATGGCAAAATCCTGTCTCTATAGAAAATACAAAAATTAGCTGGGCATGGTGGTACATGCCTGTAGTCCCAGCTTCTCAGGAGGCTGAAGTGGGAGGATGGCTTGAGCCTGGGAAGTTGAGGCTGCAGTGAGCCAAGATCAAGCCACTACACTCCAGCCCGGGCAGTAGAGTGATACTGTCTCAAAAAAAGAAAAGTGACAGTTGAGTGTTTGGCTGCATGGGAATTTAAATTAGGAGCAGCCATTGGTGACCTTGAGATAAAAGCCATGAGATAAGGTAGGAGGGGGCTGGGGAGCAGGTAGCTGCTTTTGCTGGCTGCCACCACCTTCTTTTTTTTTTTATTATTTTTTTTGTTTGTTTTTAAAAAACCTATATTTTAAAGCTTCTACAGGATTAGCAAAGAACAGCCCATGGGCCAAATCTGGCCCAGCACCTGTTTTTATAAATAAAGTTTTGTTTTTGCGCTGCCACTCTCATTTGTTTAGATGCTGCCTGCAGCTGCTTTCCTGCTGCAGCAGCAGAGCTGAGCAGTTGCAACGGACAACAGATGGCCCGCCAGGCCTAAAATGTTTACTCTCTGGCCCTTTCCAGGGGATCTTTGCTGGTCCCTGCTCAAACATTTTGGGTATTCTCGTCGTGCAACTGAATCAACTCTTAGTTGATATAGCACTTAGCAATATCTGCCATTTTATTATATGTACAAATACAAATATCATAGGTATAAATACAAATATGTATCTTTATTATATACATGTTTATTTTATTTTGTTAGAGACACGGTCTCACTCTGTAGCCTGGGCTGGGGTGCAGTTGTACAATCATAGCTCGCTGCAGCCTTGACCTCCCAGGCTCAAGCCATCCTCTGGCCTCAGCCTCTTCAGTAGATGGAATCACGGGACATGACTCCATGCTGGCTAATTTTTAAAAAAATTTGTGTAGAGACGGGGCCTTGCTATGTTGCCCAGGTTGGTCTCAAACTCCCGGCCTCGAGTGATCCTCCAACTCTGGCCTCCCAAAGTGCTAGGATTACAGGTATGAGCCACTGCATCTGGCCTGTATATAATCTTTTTTTTTTTTTAGGCAAGGTCATGCTGTTTACCCCAGTGCAGTGGTGCGATCTTAGCTCACTGCAGTCTCAGCCTCCCGGGCTCAGGGAATCCTCTTACCTCAGCCTCCCGAGTAGCTGGGACCACAGGCACATGCCATCATGCTGGGCTAACTTTTTAAATTTTTTGTAGAGATAAGATCTCCCTGCGTTGCCTAGGATGGCCTCGGACTCCTGGACTCAAGCAGTCCTCCTACCTTGGCCTCTCAAAGTGCTAAGATTACAGGTGCAAGACACCACTCCCAGCCTATATTATATATGAATATTTATATGTATTATTGTATTGATGTTGTCTGCCTCCCTTACTAGGGGCAGGGACGGTTACGCTTATTACAATACCCAGAAGAGTGCCTGGCACCTGGTAGGCTCTCAATAAATGTTTACTGGACAAGCTAATTCATGCAATCAGTCCTTCCTTCCTTCACTTGCCATGTATTTCTGGAGAGTCTACCCAGTGCTAGGCCCTGTGCCAGGTGCCTGGTTTCCAGCTGTGATGAAAATGCAGACCTGGTCTCAGGATGAAAAGTCATAATTAAAGAATAGGAAGAGGGGGGCACGTGATACTTTCAGAAAGAGGATCTTAGTACATTTCCACAAAACCCTCATGAGGCAGGTATTGTTCTGATTTTACAGCTGAGAGACGTGAAGAGGGGGTGGTTGTAGAGGTGAAGACCCCCTCCCCAGGGTTCTGCAGCCAGCAGGTGGTGCTGCTGCGGTGACCTGAACCCTAGCTGCTCCAGTCCCCAAGGCCTGTGCCCTCCTTGGGCTGGGGGGTACCTTATGCTGTCGCTGCCGCTCCCGGTACCGCTTGCCCAGTTCCTCCATCTCCTCCAGGGTCATGGGCCGCGCCTCCATCTGCGTGTTGGCTGCAGGCACCGTCAGCAGGTCCACCTTGGGAAGCTGTGGGGCTGAATCCACCTCCTGCTTCTTGAGCGGACCCTTCAGGGAATCTTTGTGCTTGGCCAAGATATGACCTAGAGTAGGAGGGAAGAGATGAGGGGAGGTGGGACTAAGAGGGTGCCCGCCAAGCAGTTATCCAGTGTCACCCGGCAGACACCAGGCCACCCCTCTGCTCCCTTCCCACACACCTTAGCTGTGCCGTGGATATGTCCCTCCTCTCCATCTCCACTAATGGCCTCCCATACTGCACCGACCCCAGCCCTCAGCCCTCTGGCAGCCATTCTCATCCTCTGTCACCCTGTTTCACCAAGCAGCAAACTGGATCTTTAAAAAATATAGAGCAGGGCACTCTGGGAGGCCGAGGCGGGTGGATCAGCTGAGGTCAGTAGTTCGAGACCAGCCTGACCAATATGGTGAAACCCCATCTCTACTAAAAATACAAAAATTATTTGGGTACGGTGGTGTGTGCCTGTAGTCCCAACTATTCAGGCGGCTGAGACAGGAGAATTGCTTGAACCTGGGAGGCAGAGGTTGCAGTGAGAAGAGATTGTGCCATTGCACTCCATTGCAGAGCAAAACTCTGTCCCCCCAAAATATATATACATATAGAGAGCAGGGTGCAGTGGCACGCCTGTGGTTCCAGCTACTTGAGAGGCTGCAGTGGGAGGATCGCTTACACCCAGAAATTCGAGGCTGCAGGATTTGAGCTATGATCGCACCTGTGAATAGCCACTTCACTCCAGCCTGGGCAACATACAGAGGCCCCACTGCTGAATGTATATGTGGATAGATAGATAGACAGACAGACCAGATCACCTCATTATCCTGGTTTCCCACAGCACTTAGACCAAAACCCAGAGTCCTTTCTCTAGGCTACAAGGCCCTGCTGCACGATCTGGCCTCAGCTGCCTTCCTACCTGGTCCATGGTGTACTGTTCACCCCTTACCCATTCCACCCAGCCACCTGACCACCTTCTATCTCTTGCAAGCTTTCCTGCCCCAGGGCCTTTGCCTTTGCAGTTCCATCTGCCTAGAATGTGCTTTCCCCAATACTAGTTCCTGTTAATCGCTCAGATGTCTGCTCCAGTGTCTGCTTCTCAGAGAAGCCTTCCCTGACCACTAGCCCTTTAGGTGCAAGCTCATCGAAAGCTGGGGCTTTGGCTGGTTCACTGCTGTGTTCCCAGTTTCTAGAAGTGGCACACAGTAGCTGTTCAACAAAGATCCTAATGAATGAAAGAATCCCATTGTCCCTGGCCTGGTTCAGACCTTCAATGTCTCAAGCTGAGGTAATATCCTGACCTTAACAGCTTCTATTGAGGCTGTGAACAAGTGGCTCAGCCTCTATGAGCTCCAGCTTCCTCCTCATAAAGCAGGAATAGCAACCCTGACCTCTGGGGACATGAAGGATAAGCTGAGATCATTCTGCAAGAATGAAAAAGAGCTACTGCAAGAAAAACTATGGGAAGAAGGCACCCCTGCCAAGATGCTCAAACTCTTGCCTCTTTAGACAAAGTGAAAGACACCCTGACAGAGCAGGAGCACCATCATCTCAGACAAACACTGCCACTTTAAGTTCCAGCTCCCTTTCTAGCCTCATGCATTTCAAGGAAATCACTTCTATTCTAACTACAAGCAGCCAGAAAGAGCAGACAGTAAAACACAGATAAGACAGCTTGGGCACAGAGGGAGGTGGGGGGAAAGTCTCTTGGGTAACTGTGATGCTCACACAATGGGCCCCAGTAAAACAGTGGGCCTTAGTAAGCACATTCCTTTCCCTTCAGGTGCACTAAGACAGGGAAGCTAAAGGCAGACTCTGGGGAGTACATCTGCAGCTACAGAAAGATGTCTGGGAACAGACACACAACTCTCCCTCCCAGATGAGCACAACAAAGAGACACAACAAGGCCTCTGATAAACTCTCCCACCCTAAATCCTTAAAACTCGTAGTCTGTAAGAGAGTGTGGCTCTGACCTAATTCAACCAGAAGCCCCTCTGAGGTTTGTTTTCTCTAAAATAAACCTGTCTTGACTGTTGAGCCACCTTTCATGTTTCTTTTCTCTTTAATTCTTACACACTCAAGTCTACGTATCTTACCTGCTGTTGCTCCCCAGGGAAAAAGAACTCAGTGATGATGCAAAAATAGCATCATGAGAGCAAACATCTGCTTCTTGGCTTTGTGTTTAGCTTCTGGGAAATAACAGGCCCCCAAACACCTCTGCTGTGAATGTGCATCACAGCATACTGGGGTCATTCAAATGACTCACAGCCAGCTACAGATAGTGATGAGCTTGGTAATTTATAACAAAAAGGAACAAAGAGTATAGAGGGAAAGCATGCCCAACTCGAGGTGACCTTAAAAATGTGCTGAATGTAAAGATTACTACTGTTGGGGTGGTGATACATGCAGGAGGTGACTGTTGGGGTGCTTAGATTCCCTGACCTCTGAGACAGGCAGAGACCCTGCTTGGAAGGCGATGGTGTCTCTGCAGGGCAGCTGCTTAAGACTGGACATTGAAAATCTCCTGGAGGACTGAGGAACAGGTGCTCTGAGCTGCATACTGTCCCCAAATGAGCCACTCCAATGAAAATGCTGAGTAACTCCACTTGATGTGACCATGAATGCCAATGGCCTCGCCCTGGATCATTATTACCATTGTAAGGAAACCCCTCTCCACTGCCTCCTCCAGAGCTCCCGTGTGACTCAGGGAGGACAAGGAGGCCCCAGTCATCTGTGAGATTAAATTCCTGCCAACCTGGTGGATGGAAACAAAGCAAGATTTGTTTCATTTAGAAAAACAAAGCTGTATCTATATTTGGGGAGGGTGCTGGAATGGGTGGGTAGTTGTAATTATTTTTGTTTTTTGTTTGTTTACAACAAGAATGGTACTAAGATATAAAGAAATATTATGCAATGCACCTTTGTGTTGTAGAGTAAATTCACAGCCAGAGCGTTAGCAAGTCCATTTCTAATTTGCTTCTGTGCCTTGTCTGGACAAATGTGGCCCTACAAGTATATCGCTTAAGAGATGGAACTTGAGCTGTGTACAACCTTTACAACTGTTCACAGCAACCCTGCCATAATACCCCTGATAAAAGGATACCAAAATATACTTTCCAGTAAACTCTAAACATATGCAAACTCTGGTTCTGAACAAGAATTTTATCAATAAGCTACGGATTAATAGTGAGGAGGCCCTGGACCCACATACACATAAATGTCTCTGGAAAGGCTTGCCATTTGGGTCAGTTCTCAGTCTCTCAGGTAGGCTTTGGTGGGCCGAGTATCCTCCTCTAAGAATAAGGGCTGGGACTTATTTGTCTTTGAATGGACACAGTGGTAGCTGGGCACTCAAGGAAATGAGTTGATCTCTGGGCCTGAAAATTTCCAGAGACTTGACCAAACTACAGTCAGCCAAATTGGGGAGCACACTGAGGAAGTGAGTTTGGAAAAGAGGCCAAGGCTGCCTATACCATGCTGACTCCCAGGGCGGGAAGGTGGAAGCACAGGACGGGGAGGGGTACGCACGCTCCCTTGCAGTGGCCAGGCTGCTCCTTCGCCGAGCCATAGACCACTGCTTATAGGTTTTGGCCAGGATATCCATGGTGATGGTGTTGTGCTTCCCAAGAGAGCTGAGATAGATCACTATATCCTCCACTTCCTGGTTCTTCAGAGGGACTCCGACCTGAGGAGAGAGAAGGCCCTGAGACTAGCAGCTCCCATCCAAACATCCTGCTCTGACGGGCAAGGCCTTACCAGCTACCTAAGACCCCCATCGCACTTCCAATTTCATCCTCAGCCACTCCCTACTCTACCCAACGTCCCTGCTGCAGGAGCTCAGAGCCTTTTCCCGGTCCTCGAACAAGCTCTGCACTTTCCTACCTTTGCCTTTGCTCAGGCAGTTCTCCCTCTCTGCCTGAAAATCTCCTATCCCTCCTTCAAAGTCCAGTCCAGATGTCACCATCTTTATAGAGTGGGTTACTTCTTCCTCTAGGCTCCCAGCCCGCTTCCTACCAGTCTCAATGGCAGCATCTACCATGCTGGAAGCATGATTTCGCATGTGGATCGTCCCTGTCCACAACACATAAATCTCCCTTAACTCCTGTAAAATGGGATCTAGAATACCATATACCTCAAGCAACTCTGGAGGTATATAATGCGTGCCAGCAACATTGGATATTCAATAAGAAAAGTTTTAAAGGAAATATGATTTTGTTCTTCAGTTTCTTTAAACAATAGTCATTGTTCACTGAACTTTACTCAAACTCCTGGCCTCAAGTGATCCTCCTGTCTCGGCCTCCCAGAGTGCTGGGATTACAGGTGTGAGCCACTGTGCCTGACCTTGAATTTTCCTTAAGTAAGATCAGAACTCTCCTGGTGCTGGCGGGGAGCAGTGGCTCACACCTGTATTCCCAACACTTTGGGAGGCCAAGGTGGGCGGATCACCTGAGGTCAGGAGTTTGAGAGCAGCCTGACCAACAAACCCCATCTCTACTAAAAGAAAATTAGCCAGGCATGGTGGCACATGCCTGCAATCCCAGCTACCTAGGAGGCTGAGGCAGGAGAATTGCTTGAACTAGGGAGGTGGAGGTTGCAGTGAGCTAAGACTGTGCCATTGTACTTCAGCCTGGGTGACAAGAATGAAACTCCATCTCAAAAAAAAAAAAAAAAGAAAAGAACTCTCCTGGTGCTAAAGAACTTAGTATTTCACCTTTCTGTTATAGAGATTAAAGACCATAATCTTTAAATGCTTTGAAGTGTTGTTGAGATAATTACATGTCATAAAACATGCATGAGAAAACTGATAATAATTTAAAACCACAAAGACATCACAGTCAACTTTCTAAAGTTGTTTAAGGTATTTGTTGTTGTTGTTGTTTGGGTTTCTTTTGAGTCAGGATCTTGCTCTGTCACCCAGACTGGAGTGGTGGTGTGATCAGAGCTCATTTCAGTCTCTAACTCCCGGGCTTCAGTGATCTCCCCATTTGAGCCTCCCAGGTAGCTGGGACTACAGATATGTGCCACCATACTGGGCTAAGTTTTTAAAATTTTTTGTAGAGATGGGGGCCTCACTATGTTACCCAGGCTGGTCCCAAGCTCCTGGCCTCAGGCAATCTTTTCACTTTGGCCCTCTAACATGTTGGGGGATTACAGGCATGAGCCATCATGCCAGGGTAAAGTATCTTGCATTAAAAAGATACAAAAGCTTAATTCATCTAGGCTAGGGGTTAGTAAGCTTTTTCTATAAAAAAGTCAGATGTAAACATTTTACGTTTTGCTAGCCATACGGTCTGTCATACTGCTCAACTCTGCCATGGTAACATGAAAGCAGCCATAGGCAATTCAAGGATGAATGAGTGTGGCTGTGTTCCAATGAAAGCAGGCTGGACTTGTCTCGTGGGCCACAGTTTGCAGACCTCTGCTAGGCCGATACAACTTTCCATGATGATGGAAATGTTCTACTTCTGTGCAGTCCAGTGGAGAAGACACTTGCCACATGTCACTACTGAGCACTCAAAATGTGTGACTGTTGTGATTGAGGGACTGGAGTTTTAAATTTATAATTGATTTACATTGTTAAATAGCTAGTGAAAGTAAAAGTGTGGTCCATGGACTGGTACCACGGGCATCACCAGGAGCTCGTAAGAAATATAGCATCTTTTGATGATCCACAGATGTGCTGGGTCAGAAGCTGCATTTCGACAGGACCTCCATGTAACTTATATGCCAGTGACAGTTGGAGACACTCTACCAGCTTTCTCTGATCTCGGTTTTGGGGTCTGCTGTGCAAGATAGGGATTCCCCAAGGTAGCTGGCTGGCTATGAGGTTAACCCTGCAGACTTTCAACTCGGGCAGGGTTTTTCAAGGTCAGACTGGTGCAGGATAGATTTTCAGGATCTGATTTGGCCACGAGTTAATCCATATTTTCCAATTTGGCTTTACAAGTAATAAGACTGATAGTTTTCACTCCTTGTGTGTACTTCTCAGTTGAACCAGAACCTGGTGGTGGGAGGGGGCAAGAGGGAATACATTGACATCCTGCCCACTTAGGCCCATCCAGGGAAAGCAGGTGGCACTTACGGCCTTGACAGCCACGATGAACTCCTCCCTGGTGATTCTCTGGTTCTTGCCCTGGCCCACCTTGTGAAATATCTCCAGGATCTTGATCTTGCGATTGTGCAGGTAGGAGTACATGGCCAACAGGGCAGGGGGCTTGGGCAGCTGGAGCTGGGGCACCATCTGGTGGGAGAGCCAGGGGGCTTTCTTCTGGAAGAGATGAGAGGGCGGGGCAGAGGAGAGAGTTCAAGGGAGACAGGCCAGTGGGATGCGGTCCCCAGAGTTAGGGAGTAAGGAGAGGCCGAGCAACTGTAAATAGCAGGACGGAGTGCAAAGGGCATTGGGTTCAGCGCAACTGTGTTTGGCACAGAATGCCTGGGAGACTTTGCTTCTCTGAGCCTTGGTTTTCACATCTGAAACACAAGGCTTGGACAATATAAGAACTAAAATTTCATTCTTATCCACATGTCTCCTGTCAAACGGTAAGTATCTGTGATCCCACTGGTCTGGTCTCTCAATGCACCAAAACCTATGCCCTTCCCTGGAGCCAGGTGGAGACTCCCCACCCCTGCCCCCAGTCTTTGCATCTGCTATATATAGGCTTCCTGCCTGAAAGACTTTTCCCTCTATCTGTCCAAATCCTCTTCTTCCAATTCCAGGTGAAAAGGCATATTTTGTAACAATGATAAGCCTTTACCTTGGTTCGGCACTGGACAGTTTACTAAGGGCCTTCCCATTCCCTAGGGTATTGTTTCTCTGTGCTCCTCCCAGGGTGCTTAGTATAATAAAGACCCACCTCTATTTTTTTTTTTTTGAGACAGAGTTTCATTCTGTCACTGTGGCTGGAGTGCAGTGGCACAATCTCGGCTCACTGCAACCTCTGCTCTGAAGATTCAACCGATTCTGCTGCCTCAGCCTCCCAGGTAGCTGGGACTACAGGGACCCACCACCACGCCTGGCTAATTTTTGTATTTTTAGTAGAGACGAGGTTTCACCATATTGGCCAGGCTGGTCTTGAACTCCTGACCTCAGGTGATCCACCTGCCTCTGCCTCCCAGAGTGCTGGGATTACAGGCGTGAGCCACCATACCCGGCTGAGACCCACCTCTATTAATGGCCTGTAGCAAACTGTAGAGCCATTAATCCCATGTATCTGCCTCCCCCACTAACATGTGAACACCTTGTGCTATGGCTTGAATGTTTGTCTCCTCCAAAACACTTGTTTAAACCTGAGTTTTGTTAAGCCACTTGCCACATGTGACTATTGAGCACTCAGAATGTGGCTGGTGTGATTGAGGGACTGGATTTTTAAATTTACAATTAATTTATATTATTAAATAGCTAGCGAAAGTAAAAGTGTGGTCCATGGACCAGTATCACGGGCATCACCAGGAGCTCATTTGAAACGCAGCATCTTTTGATGTCCCATAGATGGGCTGGGTCAGAAGCAACTTAATACTGTTATCAACAAAATGGTATTAAGAGGTGGGGCCTTTAAGAGATGATTGGGTCATGAAGGGTCTGCTCTCATGAATCCATTAATTCATTTATGAATTAATGGGTTAACGGGCTAATGGACTAATTGGTTATCATGGAAGTGGGTTCTTTATCATGAGTGGGATATGCTATAAAAGCCAGTTTGAGGCTGGATGTGGTGGCTCACACCTGTATCCCAGCACTTTGGAAGGCCAAGGTGGGGGGATCACCTGAGGTCAGGAGTTCGAGACCAGCCTGACCAACATGATAAAAGCCCATCTCTACTAAAAATACAAAAATTAGCCAGGCGTATTGGCATGCACCTGTAATCCCAGCTACTCAGGAGGCTAAGGCAGGAGAATTGCTTGAAACCAGGAGGTGGAGGTTGCAGTGAGCCGAGATTGAGCCACTGCATTCAGTCTGGGGAACAAGAGTGAAACTCCACCCCCCCCCAAAAAAGCCAGTTTGGCTCCCTCTCGTGCACCCCCTCACCCTGAGATGCCTTCCACCATGTTAGGATGCAGCATGAGGCCCTCCCCAGAGGCCAACTAGATGTGGCTGCTCACTCTTGGACTTTCAGCCTCTAGGACTGTGAGCCAAAAAAACCTCTTTTTAAAAATAAATTACCCAGTCTCAGGTCTTGTGTGATAGCAAGAGAAGCCCAACTAAGACACCTTGGAAGCAAGACCATGTCTTATTTACAACGTATCCCCATCTCCCACCCTTATACTGAACAAAGTCCAGGCCCTAGGTATGAGGTACTACCTAATTCACAATAAGGAATCAGGCTCAGAAATGTGAAGGGTTTTCCCAAGGTCACACAGCAGGTAAGCAGTAGAGCTGGCTTTCTAACCCAAGTCTAGTTCTTATTCGTAGACACCATGCAGCTGGCAGAAGAGGGTGTGTGCGACCCATGAAATTAGGGTTTTGGGCTGGGCACCGTGGCTCGTGCCTGTAATCCTAGCATTTTAGGAGGCCAGGGTGGGCGGATCACGAGGTCCAGAGATCGAGACCATCCTGGCCAACAGGGTAAAACCCCATCTCTACTAAAAATACAAAAATTAGCTGGGCATGGTGGTGCACACCTGTAGTCCCAGCTACTCAGGAGGCTGAGGCAGGAGGATCAGTTGAACCTGGGAGGCAGAGGTTGCAGTTAGCTGAGATTGCAGCACTGCACTCCAGCTTGGTGACAGTGAGACTCTGTCTCAAAAAAATAAAAAATGAAAAAAGAAATTAGGGTTTTAGCTATAATATCAGCAAGGACTGACTCTGAAGTTTCTGGGCCAACCAACCCAAAGGACACCTGTGAGACTACAATAATAATACAGATGGAAAACATGTTTGAATGCTCACTCTGTGCCCAATAGTGTCCTAGGCACCTTGAATCCATTTAGACATCATAGCTACCCCAGGAAGTAGGAACAATGGTTATCTCCATTTTATAGGTGAGGAGACTAAGGCCCAGATCATACAGCTAGGAAGTAGCAAAGCTATGTTTAAACCCAACTTACCTGATCTCTTACCCTAAGGAAATGTCACAGAGAGAAAAGGAGTTGGTAGTGCACTTATCACTTACTATGACTGTATGTTTGGACAAATGTTGGCCTCACTGAGCTTCTATTTTCACATTTGTAAAAGGGGACCCTCCTTTTCCTCCCAACCTCACAGCCATCATCCTCACGGTAGCCCTGCGAGCACCTGCTTGCTACATGGAGCCCTTGGCAAATATTCTCTTGTCAATAAACAAATGAATGAATGATGGGTATTTTACAAATATCCCATAAGATGGACTGCCAGGAATGATCTCTTCTTGAGTGGTTTTGAGGTATGTCCACAAGTTATTCTGTGTTCCTCCTCAGATGGAGTCTTCTTTCCTGCTTGAGTGTGGGCAGTACTCAAGGACTCACTTCTGACAAAGAGAACGTGGTGGAAGTGATAGTGTGAGACTTCTGAAACTGAGACCTTCGGAGGCTATGTCCTAAAGGGCACTGCAGCCTCTGTCTTGCTCTCTTTTTTGGACCCTTCACTCTGGGGATGCCAGCAGCCATGCTGTGAGGACATTCAAGCAGCCCCATGGAGAGGTCCATGTGGGGAGGAGCTAAGGCCTCCTGCCAACAGCCACATGGGTGAGCCAGCTTGGAAGCCTTCAGATGACTGTGGCCCAGGCCAGTATCTTGACTGCAACCTCATGAGAGACTCTGAGCCAGAGCCACCCAGCAAAGCTACTCCCCAATTCTTGACTCTAGAAACTGTGTGTGATCATAAGCATTTGTTGCTTTCAGTCATTTTGGGGTGTTTGTTACGCAGCAATAGATAACTAGATAGCTAATACACCTCCCTCTCAAGACTTCTGTTTGCTCTTCTGTGAAATGGGGTGAACTATCCCTATCCAGCCTAACCAAGAGAATGAAATGACAATGCAGCCCTAAACCCTTGGTGTCTTCATTTGGCAGATGGGGCTGCTCACCCTGGTGGTCCTGGTAGTTGCCAGGGAGGCGTCTGGCAGGGATCCACTCTGCTCCTTGGGGATCATGTGTAAGACCTTGGCCTCCAAAGGCGTGATGCTAGGCTTGTTCTCCAGCCATCTCTTTACATCACCAAAGGACTCTAGCTCCTGCCGCAGCTTCTCCCTCCGGCTCAGCCAGGTCTTCCTGTCCTCTGGCTGCTCTTGGATATCTCTAGCTTCCAGGGCTTTGAAGCTGGGGATGGGCTTTGGAGGAGCCTGAGGTTGGGGTGTAGGATTAATGGGTATCTGATCCTCCTTGCGAGGCACGATGATGATTCGCCGGCGGCTCTGCGGCAGGCGGAGGTCCTTCTGTTTGAACTGCTTGAAGCAGTGGCCAATGACCAGTTCAGGATCAAAGACGGAGACATTGTTGGCATTTTCACTGAAGGAAGTCTTAGACGGGCAGAGTCCTGGGGAAAGAGAGTTAAAAGGTGAGTTTCTTTCTGGAAGAGGACTAAAAGGAGCCAGGAAGGAAAAATGCTTTTGCTCCAGGCTGGGTATCAAGCTCTGGATCCCAGGCCTAGCTTTCTCATTGTCCTGCTGTAATGATAAGGATAATTTCATCGAATGTGACCGAGCCCTCCCAACAGCAGGCAGCAAGCTAAGGGCTCTATATGCTTTCTCTTATTTAGTCTTCTCCATACACAGCACTAGGAGCAGAGGCTTTGGGGCCAGAACGCTCCTCCGTCTGAGTCCTGACCCTGCCACATACTGGCTGCGTGATCTTGAGTAAGCCACTTCTCTGTCTCAACCTCTTCTTTCGTAAAATGGGCATAATGATGGTAACCTATTTTATTGCAGTCAATGTATTAGAGTTGTTTGTACATAATCTATCTGCCATTATTGGCATATACTCACCATTCACTCATTTTGAAGCCCTTCCACGACTTTTTATAGCCCTCAAAATGAAGTCCCATGCCCCTCTTCTGTCAACCTGTCCCCCTAATCCCTTGCCTCTCTTTCCTTACTACATCCTGGACACCTGGGCTTCTCTCTGTTTCTCGAGTGGTCCAAGGCTCATCCTGACTAGGTAAGGGCACGTGCTCCTCCTTCTAGCATGAGTGCTTCCACCGTTCCATCCCGCGGCACTCCTCATCCTCCGGAGCCCATCCTTGCATCACAACCTGAACCTTCCTTCAGACCACTTATCACAACCAGACACATCAAGGGCTGAAAACCGGTGGCCCTCATGCTGAATGAGGGCTGAGGTCTTGTTTTGTTTGACACCTTGCTTGGCATTTTTCAATCTGAGCTACTTTAGGCTAAGGCATTGCCCTCTTCACCTTGCCACAGGCTCCCCCATTCCCTATTGTCTCATAGGTAGTTCATTTTGTTTATTAAGTCCCTGGTTTGGGCAGCAATTTGCCTTTGAGACAACCGGTGCAATTACTTGGTTGATGTTTATTTTTTCTAGTAGACTATGAGCTCCATGAAGACTGTAACCCTATCTCTCTTGTTCCCTACTGGAGCCCTGACACTTCAATCGTGTCTACATATAATAGGAACTCAGTAAATACTTGGTGAGTGGCAAATGGACAGACCTATGATGCTGGTACTATGATTATGCCCATTTTACAGATAAGGACACTGAGGCCCAGAGAGGCCCAAGGTCACTCAGTTGATTAGTAGCAGAGCTGAGACATGAACTTCAGTTTGCCTGGCCCCAGAGCTCAGATCTTAGCTGTTACTTGATATTACCTAAGGCTGTCACCCTATCCTGCTAAGTCTCAAGTATTTTACTTATGAAATGGTATAAACTCTGCTCTATCTACCTCTTGAAGTTGTTATGAAGATCAAATGAAATACAGTTTGAAAGTGTTCTAAAAAATCAGAAGGGGCCAGGCATGGTAGCTTATGCCTGTAATCCAAGCACTTTGGGAGATTGAGGTGGGAAGATTGCTTGAGCCCAGGAATTCAAGACAAGCCTAGGCAACACAGTGAGACTTCCTCTGTCCAAAAAGTTTTTTAAACTAGCCAGGCGTGGTGGTGCACATCTGTAGTCCCAGCTCCTTGGGAGGCTGAGGTAGGAGGATCACTTGAGCCTGGGAGGTCAAGGCTACAGTGAGCTGAGATTACCCCCACTGTACTCCAGCCTGGGCAACAGAGTGAGACTCTTTTCCAAAAAAATAAAAAAAATTCAGAAGGGATATAACACTCTTATTGGAAATACTGTCACTGTCATTTTCCTCCTAAAACCCAAACTCCCCAAACTCCCTCGCTTAAAACCTGTCCATGGCTCCCAACTGCCTCTAGAATAAAGATCAAACTCCTTAACCTGGTCCCACTTGGTCCCCTCACCCCTGCCAGCTTCTCTAATTTCTCTGGCTCCTTCTCTGGCCCTTTCTGTCTTCCCTTGCGTTTGTATCCAAACAGATGTGCCCCACCAACACACACGAGCCATGCTGTTTCCTCCCCATGACGTGCTTTTCTCCTTCCCTCTTCACTGTTGTTCCCTGACTCATCCTGTGAGACTCATCAGGCATCCCAGGCCCCTTGAAGCCCTCCCACTCCCCCTCTCATGGTCCCTCTGGGTCCCATAGCCCCTATACTTAGTCCCATCATGGCATTTACCATATTTTTCTGAAATGAAGATGCTTTCTGCATTTTTCTTTCCCAGCAGCCTGTGAGTTTCCCAGTGTTAAGGACTGTATCTTTCTTCCCCTGTGTCCTCGGTGCCCAGCCTGGCCTAAAGTGGACATTCAGTACATTTGTTAAGTCTCTTTACAAGGCCCATGTGTTCCTTTCATAGTCAGCAAACAATAAAAGTAAACATCATGGCATGGTTTGCATCTGTGTCCTTGCCCAAATCTCATGTCAAATTGTAATCCCCACTGTTGGAGGAGGGGCCTAGTGGAGGTTATTGGATCATGGGAGAGGATGTCCCCCTCGCTGTTTTCAAGATAGTGAGTGCTCACGACATCTGGTGGTTCGAAAATGCGTAGCACCTTCCCTTGCTCTGTCTTCCTCCTTCTTGGGTTATGTAAGATGTGCTTGCTTCCATTTTGCCTTCTGCCATGATTTTAAGTTTCCTGAGGCCGTCCCAGTCATGCTTCCTGTACAGCCTGAGGAACTGTGAGGCAATTAAACCTCATTTCTTTAAAAATTACCCAGTCGCAAGTAGTTCCTTATTGCAATGTGAGAACAGACTACCACACATCAATAGGGATAGAAGTGAGCACTTCTAAACACCACACATCGTTACTTTGACCACAAACAAAAGTCCACTCCCAGCAGGGGATGACTGAGAATGTAGTCAGTCATCAAACCAGTATTTATTGAGAATCCCCCAGGGCTTGGTGCTTTACCAGGTGCAGATTAAACCAGGCTGGGCACCTACCATGGTTCACCCAATCCCAGTGCACCCAACGGAACAAGGTGTGGCACCCAGATGGCAGCAAGATGTTCTCAATTGGGGGAGAAACTCTGATTACGGGAACTGGGAGGGCATCAAGGAAGAGGTATCTTTGATGTGGACCTTCAAGAATGGTCTGGTTTCAAGGGGTGGAGGGGCGGGATGGGAAAAGGTCAGGGGCGGGATTTAGGGATTTTAGGGTCACCAGACAGTTCCACATGTTGGAAGCACACTGTCTAAAGGAGGTGGTTAGTGGAAAATAAGGTTGGTGTCATCTCAAATGCCAGGCTAAGAGATTGAAACCTCGCCCTGTAGGCCACGGGAACAGCAAACCTGCTCCGCACAAGTCTTGCTGCTCCCATTTGCATCCTTCCTAGACCCCTAATCCCTGTTCTGCCCCCAGCCAGGAGAGCCTTACAAATGTGAATTCAATCTGTCCCTTCCTCATTTGAAACCATTCAATGGCTTCTTAGTGCTCTTTGAATACCTGCCTCCTTCTGTGGCCTACAATGCTGCCTTCACTGGCCCTGCTCCCCACTCTTCCCTGTCACCTCCCAGCCCCCCTCATGTGGTCCCAGCTGCATTGTCCTCCTTTCTGTTGTCTGAGGTGCCTCACTCCTTTCTCTGCATTTGCTGTGCCCTCTGAAGAGCACTGCATTCCCCAGGGCTTCCCCTGGCCAAGCCCTTCTCCTTACATAGTTCTAAACCTGCGCAAGCTCCCGACCACCCTTTCCAAGGGTGCCTGCCCAACACACCCTCCTCAGGGAGCTTCATGCTAGTACTCTTTGGAGTCCTGTGTCCATTGACAGAAAGGGAAGTGGGCTCTTCTAATAAAAGAAGCTGTCATTGTGTAGTTATGGGTAGAGACAGTGTAACAACGTTCCTAGGAAATTGGTGAGGAAAGCTCTCAGACGTCAACCAGTTCAATCACATGCCCAGGTCAGGGACGCTTTCCTCAGTGCCGCTGGCAGACTCTGCCTCCCTTTACACACCTCCAGTGACGTGGAGCTTTCCACTTAACATGGTGGGCACTAAACTCGGACTGCTAGAAAATACTTCCTTACATTGACCCAGAATTTGTTTCCCTGGACTTTCTACCCCTTGATTCTAGTCCTCCCCAGGGAGGTCCCAGGAAACACACTTGTTCTCTCTTTTCTCGGACAGCCTATAGGTGTCTGGAAATAATACTACTCTTTCTTGAAATTCTGCCTGCTCTTGGCTTGATTCAATCTCTCACTAAGTCCAATTCTACCTCTCTGGCTACTGTTTTTGGGTCCCTCTTTTCCTGTCTATTCCTTGAAGGTTGATGCTTTCCAGGCTTATACCCAGGCTCTCTTCGCTTTTCAAATAATCCCTTCCACTCTCACGTTTCTATGACCTTCTGTATGCTGGGAACACCCATACTAATATTTTTTATTTGGAATTAGCTTCAAGTTTATACCTCCAGTTGCTCCTAAAACATCTCCACTTGGATGGCTTACAGAGATCTTTTTTCATTATTTATTTTTAACTGAGACAGGGTCTTGCTCTGTTGCCCAGGCTGGAGTACAGTGACTCAATCACAGCTCATCGCAGCCTTGAACTCCTAGGCTCAAATGATTCTCCCAGCTCACACTCCTGAGTAGCTGGAATTACAGGTGCATGCCATTATGACCGACTAACTTCTAAAAACAATTTTGTGGAGATGGGATCTCACTATGTGGCCCAGGCTGTTCTCAAACTCCTGGGCTCAAGCAATCCTCCTGCCTTGGCTTCCCATAGTGCTGGGATTACAGGCGGGAGGTACTGTGCCCAACCACTGACAAGGATCTTAAACTCAACCAACCAAGACTAGATTTGTCTTTGTGCCCCTGCCCCCCACTAACTGGGTCCTGTGAGTACGTTCTCTATCTCTGTGGAAGACACCTCCATCTACCCGGTCCCCCAGCTGCCAACTTGAGCACCATCTTTATTTGCCTCTTCGGTGTTCCCTGACCAACAAGGCCCTAAGTCCCTGTAGTACCTTCTAGCCTGGGTCTTCTCCCTTACCTCCCAGCATCTTTAGCATAGGCATTTGACCAGAGCCCTGATCTATGTGCCTGGGAAAGGTGACCAGGCTCTCCAGCTCGCCTCATTTTTCCACTGGGCATTAATGTGTTCAGTGCTGGAGAAGGGGCATGGAGAAGACCTTCAGTCTTCAAGCTTTACAGCCCCAGCTCTCCTCTCCCCACACCAACATTCTGAGGCTGCCAACTCAGTCTCAGGCCTTTGCTGACTGCTCCTAATCCAGTCCTGCCACTCCCAGTGACCTCTCCATCTCCTGGCTTGCAGGTTCTTTCATGATCTTGTCCTTTCTGACCTCCCTCACCTCGTTTCCAGAGACACTCAAACACTAGACCTCTTGTGGCATGCTGTTTTCTTGCCCGAAATGCTTTTCCTTCTCCTTTTGGCTTGGAGAATGTCCTTTTATCCTTTAAGCTCCAGTGAAAAGATGTTTTCCAGGAGCTTGGAACTGTTCCTCCCCATCCCATACCCTCAGCACATCTTTTACTCCTGGATGTCATCCCTGGGCCCTGCCTTCATCCTTCTTATTCTGCAATTATCCATTTATCTCTGTCCTTTACCTGTGAAGCTGCATTGCTTTGCCAAGAACTTGGTCCCTAGTATATTACTATCAAAACTTTGAAGACTGACGTCTTCTCCATGCCTTCCCTCCAGTACTGAATACATTAATGTCCCGCAGAGAAACAGGGCAATCTGGAGGGCTCCCGTCACACGGGTCGGGCCTCTGGTTCCAAGGCAAGGCAACTTGCCTTGCTCCTCCAACTAGGCCCAGGTGAAATCTCAGAAATGTACATAACCTACCCCGACTCCATGGAAACCCCTCATCCGAGGGGGACGACACAATGAGATCTGTGGCCGGGTTTTTGCCCTCACCCTACTTTCACATGTCTCGAGTGAGCTGAGCGCTTCCTGCAGACGCTGCTTCCCGGGACTTACCGAGCAGCGACAAGAACAGACTGTGGTACGCTTCATAGTCATCGTCCATGTTCGCGGTGCTGAAGGGTGTGTGTGAATGTGTGTTGGTGTGGGCTTGCTCACGTGGGGGTATCGGGGTACCAGAAATTCAGTAACCCCAAGTCCTGCGAAAGGTGCTCAGTACGGAAGGCAGAAGCAACCTGTTGCCTTGGCTATGGACGCCCCGCGCCGATTGGCTGGACGCTGCCACGTGCCAGGAGCGAGCCCTCCCCGCCGAGCGCCTGGTGACCCCACCTCCTTTTCCGTCCAATTCTGGAAGAGGCGGCGAGCCAATCCACGCCGTGCACAGTTCCGGGCTTGGTGAAAGGCGGGATTTCTTTGTTCTGCCCAGTGGCCCCTGAATCTGGTGTAGAAAGCTTCCAGTTTTCCCGTGAAGTATGGGACCTTCCGCAGGTCTCTATTATTTCTAGGCCTCAGTTTTCTCATGGGAAAAATAGGCCCTGCCTCCGCCAGAGGGTTAGGAAGAACCAAAGTGAGCTGTGGCCAGATAGAGGCAGGGTGTTTGGTACGTTCTGCCCCGCTTATGGCAGGGTGCCATAGTCTGGAGTAACAGAACCTGAGGACCGGAGAATACTAAACTCTTGAAATGTGCATCACCTGATAAACAAAATGAGGTCTATCCATAGGATGGCCATAAGAAAGAATGAAGTACATGCCACAATATGGATGAACCTTAAAATAGTATGCTAAGCAAGAAGCTAGACACAACAGGCCATGTGCTGTATGATTCCATTTATGTGAAATGTTCAGCATAGACAAACCTTCAGACACGGAAAGTAGATTAATGGTTGCCAGGAGATGGGGGTGAGGAATTGGAAGTGACTGCTAACAGGTGGGGAGCTTCTTTTTGAAGTGGAAAAAAGAAACACAAACTTCTGGAATTAGTGATGACGGCTGCACATTGTAAATGTACTAAAGCCATTGAATTGTACATTTTAAAATGGTTATATGGTGGCTTTTAGCTCAATTTTTAAAAAGTTTAAACACCTGAGCACTTATTCCTTTGCTCAGACAAGCTATCTTTGTGAGCCTCTCAACCTGAGACGGTTGCCATGGGCCACATTTACGCAGCACTCTTGCAAGCCAGGCACCATTTTAGCACATGTCTAAATTTCATAATTACAATCATTGTGTAAGGTAGACACCACAATCCCATTTTTCAAAGATGAGTTAACAGGTACAGAAGTCAGGCAACCTCACCTGCAAGAAAGGGGAAAAGCCAGGCCTATAGCCTGACCAACCTGGCTGTGTCCTGAGCTCCACTGGAGCAGAGCTCGCCTCCTGCATTCACACAGGCCCACTCTCCCCATGGAGATGCTGGGGAGAAGGGATGTGACCACCAGCCATGCCACAAAGCCACACCTGATACCCTGAGCTTGCCCCACACCCTCCAGCCCCAGCTAAGTCCAAGATTTCAGAGGTCCCTCTCTACCTTAGCTGCCATATTTGGGTGTCTTGTCCCTACATCTTACCCATTTTGTTCCCTTCCATTATTAGGTGCCCTTCTTTCTCTTTGTGAGGGTCTGTACAGAACTGTTGGTTATCTTTGTACCCCTCCTGAGCACAGGGCTTTGTACTTTGTGAATGCGACTTGGATGTTTGTTAAATGAAAATGCGATTAGAAATTATAAAGTGGATGTTTGCCTAGAGGAGAGGGAGGTGTGGCCAGTTTTCCTGTTCTCTAGTCAAAATCCATCCTTCTAAAACCTGACACTAAAGTGGAAACAACCAACTACCTCTGCATCACACTGCAGCCTGATTTGGTCCACACTGCCCTACAACAAAGGCAGTTTTCTGAACTGTTTATTTTTCACTTATTCAATCAATTTAATTTTGAAATTATACCTTAAAATGGTAGTTGCTAATTAAGACTTAATAACTAGTTTTTTCGCTTGGTTTCTTTCCAATAGTAAATGCTTTGGTATTTTAACTATAACAATACTTGTAATAAAAATGGCATAAGACTTATTATTTTCTTTTGAGACAGGGTCTTGCTGTGTCATCCAGGCTGGAGTACTGTAATATAATCATAGTTCACTGTAGCCTCAATCTCCTGGGCTCAAGTGATCCTCCCACCTCAGCCTTCTGAGTAGCTGGAACCACAGGTGTGTGCTACTAGGCCTGACTAATTTTTAAAATTTTTTTGTAGAGATGAGGGTCTCACTATGTTGCCCAGTCTGGTTTTGAACTCTTGGGCTCAAGCAATCCTCCTGCCTCAGCCTCTCAAAGTGCTAGAATTATAGGTATAAGCTACTGTGCCTAGCCAAATGGTATAAAACAACTCCAAATGGAAGAGAGATGAGTTTTCACAAAGGGACCAGGGTAAAAGGCATAGTGAGTGAGCTGAAATGGAGCAGCAGGCATATACTAACATTAGGTTATTAAATGGATGCTGGGATGGAATCTACAATTCCTAAGGGCCAGTGTGGAGCTGTCAACAATACACAATGCCAGAGGAATCTTATTTGTCTTTTAGAGTTAGCTTTTTAAAAAAATATGTATTTTTTGAGACAGGGTTTCTCTCTCATCCAGACAGGAGTGCAGTGGCATGATCACGGCTCACTGCAGCCTTGACCTCCTGGGCCCTCATGAGCTCAAATGATCCTCTTGCCTCAGCCTCTTGCCTCAGTACACCACCACACCTGCCATAAAAATATTTAGTGAGACCCTTCCTTTAGCAAGGTTGACAGAAATTTGCTTTGCATTATTGATAGTTTAGAAAGGTATTTTTCAACTTCTGACTACATTTCATTATTGGAAAAGCCATAGACATTTTTAAGATTGTTGTCAAATAATTTATTTTTTAAAAAAATCTCAAAACATGTTCAAGCACATTTGGTAGCAAAGATCCGCCGTGGCACACACATTAAGAAAGCACACACACTAGGCTTCTAGTTGGGCTAATTAAAATCTAAATGGCTGGAAAGGTGGTTGGCTGTACTGAATAATGCTTTTTTGAAGTGCAATGCTATGCATAACAGATGAGCTTGAAAACTGCAGAGTTTAAGACAGACTTAATTTTTCATGATTTTCCCAAAGCCAGTCATGATATTTATTTAATTTGTGGTCTTCAGGGTGCACCTGGAAGAAATGCAACGCATGAGGAGGCAAAGACCTTAATGTAACTTAGTCAGAAATATATATTTTTAAATTGGCTTTTTAAATGTTTGCTTGGGGACAGTACATTATGATAATATACGTAAAAGTTATAACCTTTAACCTCATGGGATTCATGAATGTTTTAAGTTATACCTTATGTTAAGGTAATCCCATAAAGTTTCCAAAGTACTGTCCAAATTACTACTCACCATGAACTGGAGTGTGAGGTGGTGATGACATGAGCCAAGTACCTCCCACTTTCCAGAAGGAGGTTATAGACCCTGAGAGGTTAAATGGTCACAATAGATTGCTCTGATGAAGCAGGGATAGGACCGTGGTCCTTCAGTTCAGGCTCAGCCAGACCTACTGGCTGAATGCAAGAGGGTGAGTCTCAAGCTGACTGGGCAGGACACCAGGCCACCCACCAGCTGCCAGGATGCCACCAGCATGAGGGCCGGGCATATTTAACAGGGCTGAAGTGGGACCTAGTCATCACAAAAGTAGTCTGAGACCACTAAGAGAAACCCAACAAGCATATATTCTAGGCCCAAAACTTCCTAATTTCCTAGAGTGGTATACTTTTGACAGGACGCTTAGAGACAGCACACAGATGGGGATGGACAGTAGCAGGGCCACAGACTGCAAACCACTGGAGATGAGTCAGAGGCCAGGCCTCTGGACTGGTCTTGTGGACTTGGGAGTGCCTACAGATCAAAAACCCCAAAATCCCATGCCACCCGCTTCCCCGCAGCCAGGAACAAAATCGGTTGTGACTGTAATAGCATTTGTGTCCAATAAATAGTTTTAACCACAATGGTGGACTTATTTTGCCTCAGAGCCTAAATGTACTGAATTATGGATGGGAGTGGGCCTCACCTGCTTCCACTCATTGACACAAAAAATTCGGTAAGAGTCGTTGCCATATTTACCAATCCCATGGAGTTCAATCGGATACTTCCACTGCTTTGTCAGATATTCATCTGAAGAATACAACAACCCACATATCAGGTCAGCTTCTAAAGACACCCTCCCAAAATGTGTGGTGATGGGGCAGGATGGAGAGAACAGCCGAAAGGGCAGGAAAGGCTCTTTCCAGGCAACCCCAGCTGTGACTGCTCTTCCTTCTGAATTCCTGCAGCACCCATATCATTAGCCAATTCCTAACCACTATTTTGTGCTGTGCTAATGAGACAGAGGTCACGTCCTTGAAGTCAAGAACTAGGCTTTCTGCTTCACTGACTTCTTCCCCTAATTCTGCTCACATGCCTGACCTAGTGTCGGGCAAAGATTTATTGTTTGGGTCAATGGGGGACTGTGATTTGGGGAAAGTGGGCTTTTTAAAATGCCTTTGGTGCTTGAGCTGAAAAACCTCCATTAATATAATATTTGAGGACATTAAAGTTTAAGGTGTGGCTCTCTTAAACAGGCACAACGTATTATGTTTTTCCTTTGGGTATGTGGGAAAGTACCTGAGAACTTGACAATGGTTTTTGCCCGAAGATCGTAGAGACCAAGAGGTTTAAGAAGTTCTGACACATCTCTCCAGTCTGCGTTTCTTGCTACCTCAGCTGAAGGGTACTTCTCCAGAAACTTCCAAAGCACAGGTATTGCCATTTTGCCTGGGAAGTAAAAGTAACTGTATGATTACAAGACTCCAGATGGGCTGATTTCACCTTCAAGTAGTTTCTCATCTAGAAATCTCATCCAGAGGGTTTTTAAAAAAAAATAAAAATAAAAATAAAAACCACTGGTGAGAAGCCATTATCTGAACCAGCAACCATTTCAGAATCGAATGCCAACACTGCTACTATATTGGGCTAGTAGTCCAAGTTATGCTGAAAACTGGCCTTGCATGATTAGCTTTTAAATAATCAGATCAGCAGATAATAAAAGTAGAAGCACATAGAACACAAGGTACATTCACTAAAAAAGATACTTTTAAATACACACGACAGAGGGTGGAGAAAAGTTAACTGATTTTCATTGGCGATCAAAACTAATTTGGAAGTCGAAAATAAATGAAAATCTACCTCTTTATTCTAAAAGATCTGTTGGATATCATCTAGTCTAACTTCCTCATAGGTG